TCGAGCGCTTCGCAACAAGCATCTCCACCCAACTTTTCATCTGAATTTTTCTGTCTCGTCATCGCGGCCGCCATCAATTCTTAGCTCGATGTGTGTAATGGTTTGTCTTCTGTAATTTTGCAAAGTTTCATAGGATATGGCCAAGGAACAAAGTCGCTAGAGCGCGAATAAAGTAATGAATGGATTTCCTCAATGTCCCACCACGACACCTATATTGGTGACGTCATCAAGTATCCAGAAGTGGCTATGACCCGGACTGTTCCTGGGTATTTATTCACTAGCTTTGACTGGATAATTTAACAATTGATATCGTGGTAATCCGTTCTAGTTATTTTTAGCTAAATTGGTTTGAAATCTGGATATTTTAGACTATGGTGACTTATGAGCATACAAAAGTAACCAAATTGACTATGGTGTTTATTGCAAGGGATTTTGTAAATATTTTTAAGGTGTATGGAGAGACTGTTGCTAACTTTGATTTTATCACTTCAGTCAAATAAAATCCCTTTAAGTCGCCTCAAGTTGCCTTAAGTTGCTTTAAATCGCTTAGAGTCCCAATGTTTTTCTGCCAATTTCACTTAAATCGCCTTAAATCGCCCAAATTCGCCAAAGTTACGGCGACTTAAGGCCCCAGAGTAGGCCTTATACAATTTAACTTGACTATACAAAAACTACTGTGGCTTTGTCTCTTTTTAAAACATCGAAATGAAAGAAACTCGCATGAATTGAGAACGCTAAAATACCGAAAACAACGAATAAATATGCCTGAACAACCACACCGAAAACTCACTAAATTTTCCGTAACGAAAGGACATACTGTTGTTGCGAATCGGTAAGAAACTATCCTCCATCATGAATCATTTCGAATTTTCAGCTCCCATCACTCTCTCACACATATGGTGTTGCATCTATCGACAATTTTTCGTTAAAAATTTTAGTTTATTTGGAGGCAGTTTTACACTTTGCTAAAGTGACAGGAATATCCTGACGTATCTCCTTCAACTACCACCTTAGTGTCAAGATAACTGTCTCCTTATCTATGCTATTAAGTCTTTAAACTGTTATGATTAACTGGTACAGGTTTCTTTATGTTACTTTCTTTTCTTTGGCAATTCATAGAAATATTGAAATATTCAGGAGGCTTACAACTGCGCTTCATTTGAGCCATTCTCTATGAATATCACCCAGTATCAAATGGATCGAGTAGGAAAGTTACTATCGACTTCTTTATCTTGAACACGTTAGTTACTCTCCAGTTTGCAGTTACATATTACCAAAAATGCGGCTCTACGCTGATGGCAAAAAGTCTTGATTACGTTCTCTTTGACGCTAACAAATGTTACCAGTATATGTGTCGAACATTGCGTAGAACACTCGACAGTTTTTAAGGTTTACTACACAGGAAATCTAAATATACCGTGGCCGTGTTACCGCTGGTTTTGTCTATTGCTGTCGCTTTGATCTCTGTTCCACCAAACGTCACGCAGACGTCGATCTTTCGGTCGGTTCCTTTTGAGATGTCTGGTGACTCGACAGTAACCTTACCAATGGAAGGCCCCACAGCATCATCGGTCGTATACTTTGCGTTTGGATCGGTGGAGTTATAAAAGTAGAAGGAGACATGCGTTTGACTTGCTTTTAAGGGTTTATAATTCGGGAACTTTCTTGTTTCTTCCACTCTCACCGTATCGTTCTCCTTCACCATAACTACAAAGCAATCATCACACCAGTCGACACCTTCAATGACTTTCTTCTTCTCGATGGGATGAATTTCAGGATCAAAAGGAAGACATATGCCAAAGCCATACGTCGTGGACATTATTCTGGACTCCACTATATTAGGTTGTCGGCCAAACATCACTGCTCCTTGCATAACTGCAATGCTAGCGTCGTTTGGAACTAAAATTCTACATCTGCGAATCAATCCATAGATGAAACAAGCATTTTAGAGAGCATTTATCTATAAACAATGGAAAGCACACCATTTTTAAAGTCGCAGTGACTAGTATAATAAGACGCCTTCATTCATAAATAAATTGAATTCATATCACTTTAGATTTATTTTCATGCATTGAATTTATTTTCATGAATGATTCAGAGAGAGCAGTTTACACCCAGCTCACTCGATTTCTTTAATTTTCCTGGTTTCTTCCAGTTTCCCTTTCTAAAAGTTGATAATAGGCTTTTGGTTAAAAAACCTCTTACCTTCGGTCGAAATTCTTCTTAATTGTCTCCTGAAGTAAAAGGGACTCGGCAAAGCCTCCAACGAGGAAGAAAAACTGCAACTTTTTAAGTATAGGATCCTTGAGGAGCTGTGTAAGGTGCTTTATAATTCCATTTGAAACTGGCTCAAACAACTTCTTCATTGCAGAAGGTCCCAAACAAAGGTATTCATTTCTGACGAATCGAACATCATCAGTTCGACATGACCTTGCGAACCTTCCTGCCAGATCAGGACCACCATGTTCAGAGATAAGAACTGTTAAGGAGCGGGGAAGACGAATCCTTGTTGAGTCTCCTTCGTAAGCTCGTCGCCCTCTTTTCTTCAGCTCAAATTCGTTCATCACGTCTAGCCAATCTGCCGGATTTTTTGCACGAAATTTTTCCACTGTAGCAGTTCCAAAGAACCCCTCAAGCAAGGAAACGAACTCTTCGTTCACTTTCTTTCCACCATAAGGTCCCCCTGTGACTTTATGAATTTCTTTGATGTTCCCGTTTGCCAATATCTCATGAGCGGTTACGTCTAGAGTTCCGCCTTTAAAAAGAAGGAGGAAAAAAGTCTTAAATATGCCAAGTGGCCAACACTGTTGGAACATATGTCAGCCACATTCGTATTTAACAAATGAAGTGAATATTGTTGAATAATCGTCGAGGGAATTACCTAACATTATAACACAACTTAGACATAACGCACGCTCTGATTGGTCAAATATCTATCGCATATTTGCCTGTCTACCTATAGAAAACTGAAACATCTTCTCGTCCTGTCAAATGACGCCACACAAGGTTAATTCCCAGATTTAATTTGTTAAACGCTTTTGGTTTGGAGGAAACGAAGAGGACACTTTCAACGCCAAAAACAAGAAATATTTTCTTTAACTAACATTATCAAAATTTTCTATTTAAAATGCAGTTTAACTAACTGTAGTAACATGAAGTCCTGTAAAGGCCGCTGACCGGCAAGCGGCAGAGAAGAACCCGACAGGATTTATTAAAAGCTTGTGTTCTCACCGATCTGTGTAGTATTTGAGAATTCGTGTACCGAACATAACACGGTGTCAGGACCGGGATACAAATACTAGCCGAAACCATTTTGCAAGCGGATCAGCTGGACAAAGCAAGGGAAAAAAAGACGAATCAACTTGTTGTGCCTCGCACGTGGTCTTAAAGAAGATGGTGGAAGGCATGCCTTTTGTAAAACCACCAGAGCCCCTGGAGATTTCGACGGGAGATCCGGCCTTTTCGTGGGGAAAATGAAACAGAAATTCGAAATCTACCTCAAGGCAACCGGAGCGTCGAAGAAACCGGACGAAATGAATGTAGGACTGCTATTGAATCATATCAGTGAATCTTCCCTGCAAATCTACTCAAATTTTGTTTACTTACCCGAGCGTGACGATCCCGCGGGAGGAGAAGACAAACTCCCGGCCGAAAATCCTGACGATTATGCGACCGCCTTAGCAAAGTTCGACGAATACTTTCACAAACGAGGACCTCAACTCATGCTCCGAGAGAAATTTTGGCTTCACCTCTCACGAGATTCGACAGAAACCTTTGATTCCTGGGTTGTCACTGTCAAAGAGAGAGCCGCTGAGTGCAAGTTTTCCGCCAGTCTCTGTGAGCAAGCGGTAAGGGACAAACTTACCTTTTCCTGCAAGGAGTAGCCCTTTCACTGGACAGGACTATTCAAATACTATCACTGAAGGAAGCTACGAAACGTGAGTTGCAAGAGTCAAAAACCGCCGTGATCGAGAGTATCACCAAACGAGAGATAGCTCCTTACGGCGGAAACGGCGCTAATAAGGGAAACAAGCAAGATCCTAAGAAGATACTCTTCCAGTCACGCGGCAAAAATTTCGGATACTGCAACCGCCAGAACCCTCCAGGTTGGAGGAATTGTCCAGCTGCAACAACGAGATGTATCAAGTACAACAAAATTGGACATTTTCCTGAAATATGCAGGAGTACACCTGTTAACTTGGTTAGTCAAGTTTCAGAAACTGAGGGTGATATTTGCCCCACATTTGTTGGAGGAGTTACGATGCCCAGTTCAACTTCCTTACCTCTAACACCCACCATAGAACCAGCCAGTATTCATCAAACCTCCACCTCTGACTCTGGTTGGTATGTCATGCTTAAGGTTCAAGACCAGGAGCTATCATGGTGTACTGACACTGGTGCTCAAGTATCTGTAATGCCGGAGTCCCTTTACAAGGAATCTTATGGGCCATTATCACAAGCAGACAGAGAGCTTGTTGGAGCAGGAGATGTTCCCCTGAGTACCCTTGGATTTGCTCTTGCCTTGCACGAAACCAGAATCCAGGAAAGAGTATACATTGTCAAAGGGGCATCCAACTGCTTCTCGGGATACCCGCAATCCGCAGCTTTGGCCTTATTCATGAAATACCAGGAACCTACAGAGTCAATCCAGTCGAGCATACGCGGTCTCCTGATTTTCCACCTCGACTGGACGTAAAGGAGAACATTGTGAAGCAGTACCCGATGCTCTTTCAGGGCCTAGGCAAACTGGAAGGTGAGTACACTATTCGTCTGAGGGATGGGGTCACACCATTTCGTCTGACTACTCCAAGGCGGGTTCCATTACTCCTCGTGAAGAAAGTAAAGCTTGAACTACAACGCATGCTGCAACTTGACGTCATAGAACCGGTAGACGAGCCGACCGACTGGTGTTCACCCATCGTGGTAGTGCCGAAGGCAAATGGGGATGTTCGGCTATGTGTAGACCTTACAAAGCTCATCCAAGTAGTTCGTCGTGAAGTGTATCAAATGCCTACTGTCGAAGAGACACTCGGTAGCCTTACAGAAGGATCAGTTTTCTCCAAGCTTGATGCCAATTCAGGCTTTCACCAAATAGTCCTCAACTCAAGAGAGTGCTAAGGGCTTCATTACGCCTTTCGGAAGATTCATGTTTAAAGGTCTGCCCTTCGGAATATCATCAGCCCCCGAATATTTCCAAAAGAGGATGGATCAAAAGCTTTCAGGAATAGAGGGGGTGAAGTGTCCTATGGACGATATTGTAATCATGGGAAAAGACCAAGCCCAACATGATGAGCGGCTCAGAAAAGTTCTCGACAGGCTGGTAGGGAGAGGACTTACACTCAACCGCGAGAAGTGTTTATTCTCCCAAAGCAGGCTGCAATACTCAGGCCAGATCCTCGACAGTCAGGAAAGATCCCTCAAAGGTCAAAGCCGTTATGGACATGACAGAACCCAAGGATATTGGAGGCCTGAGACGATTCTTAGGATTACTCAATCATCTTATGAAATTTAGCCCAAATTTGGCGGAGAAAACGAAGCCCCTAAGAGACTTGCTCAATAAGGAAAATGCTTGGGTATGGAGCCCAGCTCAGCAAGAAGCCTTCAAACGCCTGAAGACACAAATGGCTTCGGAGACTGTACTCGCTCTGTATGACCCAGAAAAGGAAACAACTGTTTCCTCAGATGCAAGCAGCTTTGGACTTGGCGCAGTCCTTATGCAAAAGCAACCATCTGGTGAACTGAAGCCAGTTGCCTTCGCTAGTAGGTCCATGACCGTAACTGAATGTCGCTATTCCCAAATCGAAAAAGAGGCTTTGGCTATCACGTGGGCACTAGAACACTGGGCAGACTTTTTGGTCGGAATGAAATTTAAAGTACAAACTGATCACAAGCCATTAATTCCACTGTTTTCCACCAAGCTTATCGATGAGCTCCCTGTGCGCATTCAACGTTTTCGAATGAGACTCCTGAGATTCGATTTTACGATCGAACACGTTCCTGGTAAGTCCCTGTATATAGCCGACTCACTGTCCAGATCTCCCCAGGACGACAAAGCCCATGCATCCAAGTCATGGAATGACTTACGCGATGAAGTAGAGTGCTACGTGAATGCAGTACTTGTCACGTTACCAGCATCGGATCAGCGACTGGATGAGATCCGCCGTGAACTGAGCAGTGACGATACCCTCAAACTTGTGATGCCGTATGTACAGAATGGGTGGCCAGACGAGAAACGCTGTGTTTTTGGGCCTGTAGCAAAGTATTGGAGTGAACGCGGCACTCTTCCCCTCCATAATGGGTTACTTATGAGAGGGCGTCGACTAATTATTCCCCCTAAACTAAGGCCAGATGTACTGAGTCGCCTACATGATGGACACCAAGGCATAACCAAGACGCGCGCAAATGCTGCCTCGTCAGTCTGGTGGCTGGGGATCTCTAACGACATATGCAAGGTTGTGAGCAGCTGTGCTACTTGCGAGAAGTACCGGAGGGAACGCATAGAGCCAATGAAAGGCACTGCGTCTCCTAATTGACCATGGAGTAGAGTTGGCGTGGGCTTCTTCCAGCATAAGGACAAGACCTATCTCATTGCCGTATATTATTTCTCTAGAGATGTAGAGGCTTTCTTGGTTCGATTCACGCGAGTTTACAACCTTCACTAATGACTGGCACTTTGAGCACATCACTTCTTCTCCAAAATATCCCCAGTCTAATGGAGAGGTCGAACGTGCCGTGCAAACCATGAAGATGATCATGAATAAGAGTAGCGACGAACACTTAGCTCTACTGACTTACAGAGATACTCCAATACGCAATGGCTACTCACCAGCCCAACTCAGCTTGGGCCGAAAGTTACGCACAAGAATTCCTTGTCACCCCGATGAGCTGCTGCCTCGGACCCCTGACTATGACCAGGTCAAGGAGAAAGAGAGAGAATACCGAACCAAAATGAAGTCCTACTACGACCACAGACATAGAGTCGATGAAGGAGAGGAACTGTCACCTGGCGATCGCGTGTGGATCCCAGACATGAAAGTTGAGGGAACTGTGATCAAGCCACATGAACGTCAAAGATCTGTAGTTATTCAGACCCCAAATGGCAAAGTGCGAAGAAACAGGAGAATGACTCCAAGAGCTCCCAAGGATAGTCCTCGTTCCTCGTTTACCCTTACAAGCCGTGACAGCCCTGAACCATTTATGAGACATGGCCCAGTAACGGACCTTCCTACTAACTTTGCTGCGATTCAAGACAGCCCAGTACCAGACTTTCCTGACATACCCGATGCGATCAGAGAAGCATCCCGACATTTACCTACCCCGCCCAGGAACCAGACAGTAGAGTACAAGTCTTCACAGACGGAAGCGTGGTCGAATCGTCTCAGGCCTAGAGGAGTTATTAAAAGACCACAGAGATACGTCGAAGAATGCTAGAAACTGTTTTCAAGAACTCTTAGGACTGTTTATACGTATTCGTGTTTAAAAGGAAAGGAGATGTAGTAACATGAAGTCCTGGAAAGGCCGCTGACCGGCAAGCGGCAGAGAAGAACCCGAGAGGATTTATTAAAAGCATGTGTTCTCACCGATCTGTGTAGTATTTGAGAATTCGTGTACCGAACATAACACTAACTGATAGTTCCTTTAAGGTGGCCGAACACAGTTTTCGCGCACGCTTTTGCTGATGTAATTCAGCGCGCGCACAAGAACTGCAAAAAGCAAACAAGCCGTCCATAGAGCGATCATTTTATTTACTCAACGCGTATCCGCACTATCTGTGCTATTTTTTCGCTATAGTCAGCGCAGTGTATTGATAGCTTTAATCTTTTATTACAAAGACATCTTAGAAAAGTTAACGGTGCCAAGAATTCAGCAATTCTCAGCTTTTTCGTCGTGAACCCAGTTAAATGCAACGCATGCGTAGTTAGTCCAAAATTACGATTGAATGGAAAATTGCTCTCTCGGAAATATGCCTTTTTCTTGAGAACCAGTCGTTGGAATTTCACGAAATTTGGCACGAAAATACTTTAGGAAATAAATAACTGGAACTTTGAAAAAAGTGATTTTTGACCAAGGAAATTCTAGATAATCGAGTGAATCTTCAACAAGGGAAAATTAAAGATCTCTCTGTTAAATTTAGCAAAATGGTGTTAGCATGTGAGTATCGTTACAAGCTCGTTGCCTGAAAATTATAAAGAAAATCTAATGACTAGATTTTGTACAAATAAACAAAACCAATTTTAAAAGGCCTGTTGATATTTATTCATGTCGTCGTCATGGCAACGGCACATACGTCAGCTTAACTCTAAAAAAAGCAAAGTTTGTGTTGTTAACTTGCTTGCTGCCAGTTTTGGTAACCGGGAGATCAAGGGTTTTAGAGAAAATGGTGAAAGAAACACAGGTATCAAAACTGTGTTCAGCTACCTTAAGCCTTTATTTTTCACTGCACGTTGTAAGTGAAAAACTTCATAAATTCCTTACTAGAAGTCTGTAAACTCCTCTCTGAGAAAGAAAAGTTGGCATTTTTTGCCTCAAGAAAATTGTAGCGACAACTAACTGGATTTCCATTCAGCTATTTTACAATCATATCATTGAAACAAAATCCACTTGCAAAGAATCCGCTCTCAAGATTTATGGCAACACCGTTTGCTGTCCGTTATGAAGGTATATCGTGGAAAAAAATTTCCACTTTTCGTTTCGTTATAGCGTTTCATCGTTTCCGCACTCTGTTACTACTGGCCGAGTCGTTGTTTTCTAAGTTCGACTAGCCGTTTTAGAAGTCGACTCATCGCTTCATGAATTCGTTTCGTCGTCTTGTCAGTTCGATTCGTCGTCTTGCCTCTTCGACTTGCACCTTTATCTTGCTTATCGTTATTTCTCGACAGTTTCTTTATAATTTCTGTTCGGATTTCTCTGTGCTATTGCTTCCCTTCAACGATAAATTAACTACGATCTTCGCTCCTCTGGCAAACAGCTCATTCAGTTTCCGGCGCTTTGATTAGTTTATCGCACTTTTTGACGGTTTTCATGAGAATCAGTGACTTGATCACAAAACAAAATTAAATCTATTATTTTCTCCGACAAAATTCACGCATAATTATCTCTTAAAGGTGCCCTTCGTGGTTAACAAACTTTTCTCCTTTTCTCACAACATCCCGTGTGATTTATCAGCTTGAACCGATAGAAAGTGTGTTTTAGTGCACGTGCTTAATTATTATTCGACTGCTTCTTTTACTGCCAAGTATTTCTGCTCATTTCTCGTGAGGCGAGAAAACTAAAGCGGAAAGAAAATCATAGCGCGCGCATCCGACGGGTTTAACTATTTTTTTTTTGTACCAAAAGAAAATAACCAACTGTTTAACATCACAGGATATTTGTAGTCTATTCGCACGTCGTTCGCACTCTACTTGTGCAGTTGGATAATAAAATGACTTACTACAAGTGCTTTCGCCGTCTCTACAGGTGCTTTTGCTGTCTCTGCTGCGCGCAAATCCCTTGGTTGGTTTAGCGCCCGTCAAAAACTTCAATTAAATGCCGTTACCATGCAGGCACCACCTTATCTTTGCGATATATTTCATGACAGATTTAATGTGTCGGGACGCAACACTAGAAGTTTGTCACAGTTAAACCTTCCTAAATTTAGATTGTGAACTCGTCAACGCTCTTTCGCCTTTCGCGGGGCAAAAGAAGATAACCTTCCAGCAAACATTCGAGGCACACACGATATTTTAAGTTTTAAAAGGAAAGTGGCCCATTTTATTTAAAACTCTTCTTAAATGGATTTTTTAACCTTTTTATACCTTTATACGAACCTATGTTAATTATCATTATCATTACCTTTTTCTATTTTTATTTTTCTTCGCAATACATGTAATTATTATCTAACTACACTTAGACGAGTACAAATAACGCCATAGACGAGTACAAATATCACGCAGTATTTGTACTCGTCTATTGTAGAGTACCGGTTAAACAGGTTTTCTCGCATCGCGCAAGCGAAGATTAGAGTGTAGTAACGAAAAAAAAAAAGTGGCGGACAATTTAAATCATATTTCCGACGACGAAGAGTCAAAATGGCTGGCAAATATAGATCCAAGTTTATTAGTTGAATCGAACGAAGAAAAACAGCTTGACGACCAGAGAATTTCTTCATTTTATGAAGAAAATAGAAACAGCAACACAACAACGCGCCAATTCGGTTCCGCTTTGCATATTTCTGTCACGCACTCCCTGTAAATAAATATCCGCGAAATTCGACCGCTGAAACAACAGTTTGGTGCGTTGGGTAATAAATAACTTATTAGACGTTTTGTCTTGTAGTATCGCTGAGTATTTTTACGCGTTATTTGTATTTTGACTCGCCCTACGGGCTCGTCAAAATACGGCACAACTTGTAAAAATACTCAGCGATACTACACAACAAAACTTCTAATAATAATATTCTTTTACCCATTGTAATTTATTACTGTATATATCATTGTATATTACGACAGAAAAGCCTCGTATAGGGGAGCCGCAATAATAAAGTGTATTGTATTGCATTGTATTGTATTTCGAATTTTATTGTAAATATTCGTTTTGATGTTAAAACCACTGTTTTTCATTAATTTCAGTTAATAACTCGTATCGAGATAAGGAGTCAGTTTCCATTAGAATTTGATGAGTTCATTTTATTCACTCAGCCAAAAAACTTCATTTCTTCCTTTTGAAAGGTGTTACTCCAAACTTTAGAGCATCTTTTGTGCTCTGTGGAATTGAATTTTCTCTATCGTACTCATCACTTTCTCAGTAACAATGACAAAACGCGAGGTAGCCATTTTAAAATTTAGTGCTCCTGTTATAATCACAATCACTTCACGCGAGGTGATTTCAGCGAGATATGACGCAGTTCTCGACCAATCAGCGCGCGCATCTCTCTAATCATTGGAGCAATCACACTGAAGGGAGATTTAACGCAGTACTTGACCAATAAGAGTGCACGCATGTCTATAACCATCGGAGCAATTGTACCAAAGGTTGATATTTCCTATGGATAGGATGCTGGTTCATAATACGTTTTATGTGACCCGTCCGGCCCAGCTCGCGCAATCCCATCAAAATCCAAAGTGAAAGCTGACTTGTGCAGGGCCAAACGGGTTGACGTGAGTCGGTCTGGCAAAAGCCGTCCGGCCCTGCTGCCCTCATTTTACTTTGTTGCACAAACTTCAATGAAAAAAGAAATGACAAAAAAAGTCGCGTTTTTCAAGGAATGGGTAGTTTCTTGTTCTGACTCGAAAAAATAAAGAAAATGTTCTAATTCCAGAAGTTTTCTTGTGTTCTTGTGGATACGTGTGCCCTTCTATCGCATCCTACTTATGCAAAAATTTCAACCTATCACATAATATTCATAACATATCATACTTATCGGATATATCAACAGAGTTGAAATGATAAATTGGCCACCGTAACGATTACAAAAGCTGAGATTTCGAGCGTTAGCCCTTCGCTCCGACGAAGGGCTAACGTTCGAAACGTCAGCTTTTGTAATCGTTACGGTGGCCAATTTATTATTTCAACTTTGTT